ATATTAACTATGAATTCATTGTTAAAACTTTCTTTTGGAGTATTCTTGAGATTTGACTTTACATTATTCTACACTCCCCTTACGTGAATGTTCATTTCGTCATATGCCAATGAACTTGGCTTTTTAGTATGTTTCAAACTCCTACATAAACCTCCTAGGTTCACATCATATCATTACATCCATCATAGGTTCGCTTATTTTTAAACGTACGCTAGACTTATGGATCTATACGTACAAGCCATGAGGCTTCATTCATAATTCGTCTAAGTTACTCATACTTACCCAATATTATGTAATACAAGACTTATGCATCTTGTTGGTATGACAAGATATTTAGTTTGACTCTTAGGGGCAACATTCATGAAATATTTGTTCACCTACGACTTATGTGTCAATATGGAATTGGGCAAGGGAACCCGATTTAGAATCTTTTGAACAACACTTTATATGATATTGGACTTGGTACTTGCATTTTTAAAATATTGGGGACCCTAGGTCGATCCCCATCACCCCCATAGAATTTTTTTTCTTTTACCTCCTCTCTGTCTCGTTTAAGGCAAAGAGATTGTGGGATCAATCTCCACAAACTCATTCTTTTTCTCATAATTTTTCTCTTAGCTTTATCCAAGAGGTTGTGGGTTCAATCCCCACTCACCTCATTTTATTTTTCTCTTTTATATTTCTCCTAACTCTCTCATATATTCAAGAGGTTTTGGGTTCAATGCCAATCACCTCATTTATTTTCATTCATTTTTTTTCTCCTAATTTTCACCACTATTCAAGAGTTTGTGGTTTCAATCCCACTAACCACTTTTTATTTTTCTCCTAACTCTCTCATCTATTCAAGAGGTTGTGGGTTCAATCCTCACTCACTACATTTAGTTTTCTTTTCGTTTTTCTCATGAACTTTTTATGTAATTTGAATTTGGTGAGGTCTTGGGTTCACTTCCCAAATACCTTACAATGTTAAAAAAATTTTACAACATAACTCACTTTTCAAATTTTTGGCCGAGACCAACATTTCCAGCAAGCTGGAAATTTGTTTTTTTTTTGGGATAATGTCCAAGTACCCCCTCAACCTATGCCCGAAATCTCAGAGACACACTTATACTATACTAAGGTCTTATTACCCCCCTGAACTTATTTTATTAATAATTTTTTACCCCTTTTTAGCTTACGTGGCACTATCTTGTGGGCCCAACGATGGTTGACTTTTTTTTGAACTAGTGCCACGTAGGCTAAAAAGGGGTAGAAAAATACATATAAAATAAGTTCAGGGGGGTAATAGGACCTTAGTATAGTATAAGTGTGTCTCTGGGATATCGGGTATAGGTTGAGGGGGTACTTGGGTATTTTCCCTTTTTTTTTCAATCCATCTTTCTCTCAAATTTTAATGTTGATTCATGGAGTAATTCGGGTTACATTTTTCCAGCAACATTACCCTTATATGAACATCACACTTTTAACATTTACATATACGAAAACACAACATTTATAACACATAAATTCAGGCAGCAACATAGCTAATTTACAGCACACCCATGCTCAAACAATTAACTTAAAACACTTTTCCAAAATACATCTTTCATTCCTTACATAATTTCCAAATACAGAGTCATATAATCACAACCAGACCTAAAATTATCTACCAGAAGACATACCAACACATGCTTTAAATCTTTCAAAGGATCTAATGACAGGGGCATGCAACGGGGACAACCTTAGTTGTTAAATTGCGATTACTGAACCTTAAGGGTCTCTTGGGAAAGGGGACAACCCATACCTTAATGTTGTTCAACACCTGTTTCAATGTTGCCGATTCCCACGACACCACTGCCTCACCACCAAAATCCAAAATCCAACCCGTCGAGAAAAATGTTGTTGATTTTCGTTTGAGTTTTTGTATGCAAGTTCTTCAAGAGTGAAGAAATATTATTTTCAGTTATTTTGCTGATGAAAAACGTGAGAATGAGAGTGAGAGACGTCAGAATGAGAGGATTAGGATTATGAAAGTTAGGTGGAGACTTAATCAAACTAAGCACTCCTTATTAATATTATTATTATTATTATTATTATTATTATTATTACTATTATTATTATTATTATTATTAATATTATTATTATTATTATTAATATTATTATTATTATTATTATTATTATTTTTAATTATTATTATTATTATTATTATTATTATTATTATTATTATTATTATTATTGTTATTATTATTATTATTATTATTATTGTTATTATTATTGTTATTATTATTATTATTATTGTTATTATTATTGTTATTATTATTGTTATTATTATTGTTATTATTATTATTATTATTATTATTAATATTATTATTATTGGTTATTATTATTATTATTATTATTAATATTATTATTATTATTATTATCATTATTATTATTATTATCATTATTATTATTATTATTATTATCATTATTATTATTATTATTATTATTATTATTATTATTATTATTATTAGTATTATTATCATCATCATCATTATTATTATTATTATTATCATTATTATTATTATTATTATTATTATTGTTATTATTGTTATTATTATTATACTTATTATTATTATTATTATTATTATTATTATTTTGGTAACTAAACTTTTTTATTAATTACCAGAATCAGCATTACAAATTATGCTACTAGCACAGTAACATCAAACATCTTGAAAAACCATACTACACTATCCCTATACTATTAGCTAAAGTTTTCGATTGAAATACATCTTTGAAACAATAGTAGAAATTCTAGCTATAGTAACACAAGCAATCTCTTTTACTATACTCTCCTCCTTACTACTTTTTTTCTCAACAATTCTATTGTTCCTCTCTACCCATAAGCCATATATGCCTTCTGTAATCACTGTTTTGAACATTTGAGTTGTAGATCTCTTCCCCTTCCCATGTTGGACACACCATTGTTGAAATTGCTCCCAGGCCATTGCTACAGAACCTCGATGCTTTAACATTCTCATTAAACTCTCTCATAACTTCCTTGCAAACTGACATTGTAGAAACAGGTGCTCAGTAGTTTCATTTGCCTTCTTACATAACACACATGTTTTATCTACTTCAAGTCCCCATCTAACTAATCTATCCACAGTTGATAACTTTTGGTTCATCATCAGCCACATTATGATATAGGCCTTTGGTTTTGCTGCATTACTATACATAAGGCATGTCCATGTTGGCTTTTGTTGTCTTCCTATCATGTGATGGTAAACTTGTCGTAGTATACCTTTTCCTTTGCTTTGTTTTTGCTGAACTTGATCAACTGTTACCTTTGCACTCATTATTTTCTGAACCATCCAGCTTGCAGTGTTACTCTTCTTCCATTCCCTCTGTCCTTTTATATAATATGCATGAATCTACTTTATCCACAGCTTATCTTCTTTGTTTTCTAGATCCCAGCATAGTTTAGTTATTGCTGACCTGTTCCAAATTTTCAGATTGATCAGGCCTAAACCTCCTTCATACTTAGGACTGCACACTTCGTCCCAAGCTATTAGAGCTTTCTTTGTTACATATCCCACACCTAACCATAAGTAACTTCTGAAAAATCCTTATATCAGCTTGATAATCTTTCCAGGTATAATAAACAGTTGTGCCCAGAATGCTTGTACTCCAAATAAAACAGTCTTGACTAGTTGTGCTCTTCCTGCATAAGATAACTTTTTTGCTGTCCAAGAGTTGATTCTAGCCATGACTTTCTCTATAAGTGGATACCATTGGATTGTATTCAACTTCTTTGATGACAGTGGTACCCCCAAGTATTTGAAAGGAAGCTCTTCTATTGTGTATCCAAGTTATTGGACAATTTGCTGTCTCACATCCATCTGTACTCCACCACAATATATTGAGCTCTTGTTAAGGTTAGCTTGCAACCCTGAAGCTTGAGAGAACTCAGTGAAACATTTCTGAAGAGCCTTAATAGAATTTAGGTCCCCTCTTGAAAAGAGCAGCAGATCATCTGCAAAGCACAAGTGAGTCACATCCAACTTTGCACATTTGGGATGATATTTGAAGCTCTTGTTTTCTTTAAGACCTTTAAGCAACCTACTGAGATACTCCATTGCTATAGCAAAGAGAAAAGGTGACATTGGATCCCCTTGTCTAAGTCCTTTATCTGCATCAAATCTTTGAGTATTCTGACCATTAACAACAATAGTGTAGTTCACTGTTTTAACACACTTCATTACCCATTGAGTGAATAAGTCAGGAAAACCAAATCCCTCCATTACTTGTTCTAGGAATGGCCATTCTACAGAATCATAAGCTTTTTGTAAATAAAGTTTTAGCATACTCCTAGGAGAAACATTCTTCCTTGTGTAAGCCTTAACCAATTCATGAGCTAGGATAATGTTATCTCCAATCTTTCTCCCTGGGATGAAGCCTGCTTGGCTATCACTGATAATAGTATGGATGACTTTATGCAATCTTTGAGTAATCACCTTTGAGATGATCTTATACAATACTGTGCAGCAAGCAATAGGTCTGAACTCTTTCACATTCTTTGGACTATGAACCTTAGGAATCAGTGATACAAGTGTGCAATTAAATGACTTAAAAAGGTTTCCTGTATTGAAGAAACTTTTAACAGCATCTATAACATCATGCTCAATGATCTTCCATGTATGTTTATTGAAAAAGACATTATATCCATCAATACCTGGAGCCTTATCATTCCCTATGGACTTCAAAGCTTCTACTATCTCTTGATCAGTTATTGTTGCACAAAGCTGGATTCTGTGCTGTCTTGATAGAACTGGTCCTCTTTTCATTACCTGAGTATTTATAGCTGGTAATCTATCTGCTGCTGTGCCCATTAAGCTCTTATAAAATGAGACAAATTCATTCTGGATCTCTTGGGGTTCATAAAGCATCCTTCCATCTAAGGACATCAAATTTCTGATGATCTTCTTATTATTTCTCTCCTTTATCACTGAGCTAAAATATTTATTGTTTGCATCCCCCTACTTAATCCACATTGCTCTTGATTTTTGCCTGAGTGCATTTTCTTCTAACATAGACCATTTTTCAAGTTTTGTAAGGAGTTCCTTTTCTTTATCTATTAACTCATCTTTTGCTTGATTACTGAGCTGATTTTGCACTTCTGCAAGCTCATTTCTAGCTTCTTCAATCTGTTTGCTAATGAATTTGAACTCTCTATTATTCAATTGCTTTAGAACATGTTGAAGGGCCTTCAGTTTGTTCCACACCATCTTCATTGAGTCCTTTCCTTTCTCTTGTTTCCACAATTTCTCCACAAGGTCCAAGAAGGATTCATGTTCAGTCCATATATTAACAAACTTAAAGTTTACTTTTACTTGCTGATAACTTTGCTGAAGTATCAAATGCATTGGACTATGATCTGAGACCCCTGGATTGCCATATTCTAGTATGACATGTCCCCATTTATCCATCCAAGCCTCATTCCCAAAAGTTCTATCAATCCTGCTTGAAATCCTTGCATTACCACTCTGCTTGTTGTTCCATGTGTAGTAATTACCTTTCCATTGCACCTCATTAAGTCCCATGACCTTGACACAATTTGAGAAATCTTTTATCTCATTCGCATTGACAGGAACACCAGCTAACCTATCTTTGGGAGACAACATAGCATTAAAATCTCCCACAATAATCCAAGGGTGGTTAACACTTTTTCCTATCTGGATCATATCACTCCACAAACTCTTCCTCTGCTCAATGGTATTAAATCCATACACAACTGTGAGATTGAATTGGAATCCTTTGCTTCCATCTTGTATATGACAATGTATCATCTGAGCTGCACTTGTAATCATCTTAACCTCATACCAGCTATCATCCCATATAATCCGTATTCTCCCATTTACTGCATCTTTGTAGTTGTTCAAACAGTTCTATCCTGCAGCTATGTTATTAATTGTTGCCCTATTATTGTTCTCTTTCACTCTAGTTTCAATTAAGCCAGCCAAAGTAACTTTATTATTCTGCAAACACTTCTTTATTTCCTTCTGCTTATATCTCTTATTCATGCCTCTAACATTCCAAAAGGTCCACTTCATTAGCAAGATTTGAAGTTCCCCCCCCACAGGCAATGACACCAACTTGCTATTCATAAGACTCTCAAAACCATTCCTTATAGGTATAGCTGATAACATTGGAAAGTTTGACAGGCTAAACTCCAGCTGAGTGTTCCCATTATTAGGCCTTAAGCTTATTTCAGGAGTTTGGATTACCCGATCATTTTTTAGCTCATTTTCCTCTTCCTGTACAGAATGAGGTTCATCTTCTTTGATCTCTACATCCTTTCTTTGTTCCACTACCTTCCCCTGCTGTTGAATAGGCCCTTTATACTGCCAGGCCTGTGTAACTTTTTTCCCGGGCCTTCTCTTCTTTGGCTGATCCTCCATTGTTGTATCTTGACATTGATGACCAATTCTCTGACATTTATCACAATATACAGGCTTCCATTCCATCACAACATCTTGCATAAATGTTCTACCATTTGGATCCTTAACTACTATCTTCTCAGGCACAGGTTTAGTAACATTAACTTCAATCAACATTCTAGCGTAGGAAATTCTAGTCTGTTTAGTGGTACATTCATCAGCAAACAATGGCACACCTATTGCACTAGCAATGCGACTCAGAGATCTAGCTCCCCAACAGTTTAAAGGCAATTTTGGAAAGTTTACTTATAGTGGTATTTCAGTTAGGAACTCCTTCCCAAATTCAAACTCAGCACTCCATTGTTTCAGTATAATAGGCCTATTACTAATCGTATAAGGCCCTAAGTAAAGCACTTCATTCATATCTGTCAAGCTCTTAAACTTGATTATGTAGTATCCTTCATCATGAAGAAACACCTCAGGCTTCTCCCCTTTCGACCAGTTCATCATTCCATATCTATTCATAGTATTAAATCCAAGACATTCACCAATTACATATGCTATTAATGCATATTTCCATTTGTCCTCTTCAACCTGTACTTCATCACTTTCAAGTTGCACCATGGTTTGCCCATTCGCTATTTGTGGAGGGAAGTACGTCAAGTTCATTCCATTATTAGCTACTCGATTATTTTTAAACATGTTAACCCATGGTTCCTTCCTCTTCTCCTCTACTTGTTCTCCCTTACTACCAGTTACTGTTTCATTGCCTTCCATCTTGCTCCCATCCTCAGATTGATCTAGATCTGAGTTGTTGTGATCATCTTCCTTCTCCAGTGAGTAGTTTAGGCTCAAATTTCTTGTGGTTTAAGAATTCACAGAATGCCCAGCTTCATAACTACCTTCCACATTTGGAGTCTGTTCTGGCTGATTTTCCTCATTTGCTTCCACACGAGCTCCTACTGAGCTACCAACTGTCAGTATTGCTGTTTTGCGTCCTCGTCCTCGTCCTCTACCTCTTCCTCTCGCCATTTCCACCTTCACTGTGTACGTTAGTTAACGTCCGCCGAGAGCATTTATTATTATTATCATTATTATTATTATTGTTATTGTTATTATTATTATTATTATTATTATTGTTATTATTGTTATTATTATTATTATTATTCTTGTTATTATTATTATTATTAATATTATTGTTATTATTATTATTATTATTATTATTATACTTATTATTATTATTATTATTGTTATTATTATTATTGTTATTATTATTATTATTATTATTATTATTATTATTGTTATTGTTGTTATTGTTATTATTGTTATTGTTGTTGTTGTTGTTGTTATTATTATTATTATTATTATTATTATACTTATTATTATTATTATTATACTTATTATTATTATTATTATTATTATTATTCTTATTATTACTATTATTGTTATTGTTGTTGTTGTTATTATTATTATTATTATTGTTATTATTATTATTATTATTATTATTATTGTTGTTGTTGTTATTATTATTATTATTATTATTGTTATTATTAT